ATCATTTTGCACTAGGAGAGCAATTGGGGAAAAGCTAATAAGACATTAAGAGGGACAGGTTGATTTTTAGACAAATCAATAGAACATACAACTTGGCTAAGCAAAGAATAAGGGTGGGGGTAGGGAAAGGGTGCTGGTTAACTGTCTGAACCATTTAGAGTTGTATAAACACAAAATGGGATGACAGCATTATTTAGCCTGCTACAGCAAGTATATACAAGTAACAGGACAAATTAAAAGTTTGAGCTAAAGATCAGGAAAAACTTCCTGACTACTAGATCAATCAGATTGTTGTTCAGTCTCGTGAGGAAGTGACCAGAGCTTGATCCTCTAGAATAGATAATTAGAAAACATCTTATAAGAGAAAAAGCCAACACTAACTTGGCCAGATCGGAAAATTACTAAAGGAAAATAGGACAGAAAAAAATAATGCACATACAAAGACAATAATTTAAAGTAAAAAGGGGGGGACTTGAGAATCAGAAAATCTAGGTTAAAATCATGGGTCTCTCCTTTCCAGTTTTATAATCTTGACTTAAACTCTATGAGTTGCCTAAATGTAAATGATGATCTGCCCTACTGGGAGTCAAAACATTATAAATGTTAAAGAATTACACTGCAATAAGATATCGTTACATACAAGAGAGTATTTTACTCAAAAAGAAACAAAATATTTATAATTTTGCTCATTTTAAAATTTCAGTTCAAATGCCACTATTTTGAGGACTCTTAAATTATTAAAAGGGAAAAGAGAATGTTTTCAACTTTAAAACATCATCAAGTTTTAACAAAGGAGACTAAAAGAAGTTATGCTCCAGCTCCCTGTTCCTGGAAATGTGACGTGGTCAATTTCTAGGAGATAAGCAATTATATGATAAGAAACATTTCTAATAATTTTGTCAGACAACCATACGTAAGAGTCTCTCCAATGACCTCCAGAAAACCATTAAAATATCCTGCTTTCTTCGACCCGTATCAGTTCGGTAGGCAATTCATACCCATTTCTAGATGGCTTTCAGAAGAGGTCACCACATACGCTCACTCAAAGATTTTCTGACTGTTTTCTCTGGAATCATAATGCTCCACAGAAAAATATGTAAAATCCACCCTGTATGGATTTTATCAAAGTGTGTCTCAAATTTCACTTTTTAAACTGAAAATTCAAATTTAGTTAAAAAATCCTGTACGTTACCTCGATGTCATTTATTACATTTTAACGATAAACCACCAATGCGTTAAGCATTTCCAGATTACCATATTTTTATAGTGATTCAGACAGATTCTCTTGTCACCTCACCAAATAAATATGAACATCTTATAAATGTGCCACTCAGCAGGAAGACTACAGCTCTGCACTTCTTTTAAAAGTTTACTTGGTCCTGTACATGCTGAGTCCTGTAAAAGTGTACAAGTGACTGTACTATACTGCATGTCCGTATGAACCAGGATTTTATATGGCACTGGAAGAACATTAAACTGAATGTAAAGCTAGCACTGTGATCCTAGTCCCTAATCTCAATTTTGTATTTATCAAATGACTGACTTTACAAGTAAATGGTACACCTAATTTAAGCTTGCAGACGACTCAGGCAACCTTGAAAATGGTACACATACAGGAGTCGTTTTGTTTTGTTTTTTAATCAACAGCATTATATGATGGCAGAAAAAGTAACCTGGATGAAAATGTCAATTACTGCGTATATGCATATAAAGTCACAGGTTTACACACTCACCAGAAGTTTGCTTAAGTTAAACAACTTTACACCTGAACTTAGTACTAAGAAAATGCCAATAAATCAAAAACCTTTGTTTATCTATCAATCAAAACTAACTACATTAGTTCCTAGGTAAGTCCTAGACCAAACAAAGATCCATTTATTTCAAGTAAGACCCTTACAACAAAACCCCACCTGTATCGTCCCTGAAAATTCACTGTTCTAGAATCTAGCCTGAAATCATTTAGTGAATCCACTGAAAGGGCGTTCTCCCCTATCTCTCAGAAGAAATTCCAAGTGCCATAAGACCCCTAAACTTTCAGGGACAGAAGATAGGTGTCTAAGAGGACTGCAAACAATTAGGATGTATTTCAGGACTGAATAAAGCAATCGATGCAAACTGAAGAACAGCAATCAGATATTTCCACCACTTTACAAGTGCTGATTCTAAAAGTGGAAAACTATACGTCTCACGGAAGTTACAAAGCAAGACACTAGATGGTATTCATAAGCTGCTTAGATTAAAAAAAAAAAACACTATTCAGACACACTACATAAAAACAGTCGCTACCATGAACATAGTTTGGATTTTAAATTGATGAATACACCTTTTAAAAAGGGGGGAGGGGGTAAGGGATCTGGAGAGTAGAAGATGAAGAGGAAGAGAAGGGAGTAAATGAATGTGTTAATTTAACTGTAAAATAATAACAGGATATAACAGAGTTCTGAGTATCCACAGTGACCAATCAGAGCCTAAACATAGCTGAATTCCATCCCAGCCCCAGCACGTCCCTAACACAAGAATAAAACCCTTCTTATCTTGTTCAGCCATGTGTCGCCTGCCGCAAACTGCAAAACAGAACAACGCCCAAAACCAGCTAGTCTGATTTCAAATGAGGACAGACAGACTCTGTAGTCAGAAGCACCACAATGAAAGAACTCTAACTCACACAGCTGGCCTGGTGGGTCTGCACACTCTACAAAACAAAGCCATACCACATACAGTACTTCAAACTTGAAAGGATCTTTAAAAAGCTTTACTGGCACTGTTAATTTGCCAATAGCTCTAGAATCAGCAAAATATATCTAGAGGACACTGGAATTAGAGAGAAAAGAGAATGAGGTAGATAGAGCTGAGAAGAAGCTAAGAACTACTCTATACTCATAACTTTGTTAAGGTACCCTGGAAAAAAAATAAACCAGCACTTCCAGATTTCACCCCAACATATATTCAAATCAGGGACAACTACTCTCCTAGTGAGCAAATGAATGCTTGATATTTACAGAGTAAGATGTGTTTAAAGAAAACGTAACAGTCACCCAAGAATAATCTTGTTTAAAAAAAAAACCAAAAACTAGTACAAATTCCTAAGATACAGGTATCCATACTGTCTCTGCAATACATATTAAATTAAGCGGCTTTTGAAGTTTTTTCTTCCCCATTTAAAAAAGTATGTGAAATCAGCCAGCACCTGAACTAATTCAAGGATATTAATACCCAAACCAATTTGCAGATTCATCTTATACTTAGAATACCCGTCCTTTGTGCCTAGCACAGGGCCTGGCAAAGAACATTCATTGACTGCATGTTTCCTGTGTTATTTATCCCCCATCTAACTTATCAAAAAACCCCAAATCCTGAGATTTTATTTCCAAGATAATAAAAAAAGGCAAGAAAATCTCTGAGAAGCAGAGAGGAAGAAGGTTATTATGTGGGTGCTATCAGGTGATTTTCATGTGAAATGAGCAGGTGACCCTAGGTTCTATTTCTACAAAATTAACCACCCCTAGTATGACAATAAAAACTACCTACACTACATTAGTTCCTAATAAGACTTCTTGTCTAAAGGCTCAACACAGAGGGCCAGAATTGAATGAACCAGGAAAATAAAAACAATTACCCACAAACCCATTACAGTGATTTCTCAGTAGCAAAACACCCTGAAAGGAACAGGAATGGGGATGACCCGAAGAAACTGGGATAAGCATTGTTGCTACTCGTTGTTACGGGTACAGTCTGAAAAGTTGAAAACTAAACTGCATTTTAAAAAAAATACACAAACAAAGAATATAGTTTAAATATTTAATGGAATCTTTTAGGTGAACATTCACGTGACACTGGAAAGCATCAACAGGAAGAGGAAGTTCTGTTTCTGGAGTAGCTGTTATGGTACGATAATGGAATTTGGCCTTTTTAAAATCAACAAATGAGTATGACGATTGGGTGAAACTCTCCTATTAGGAAATTCAACTATTTTCTGCAGAAGCACTATTGTTGCGCTTTTCATCAAAGTGCTTTCTTTGGCCCCCTAATTCAGTTATTTGATCCTTTTTTTTTTTTTAAATGATGTAATGGTTTGAATACTGACTTGAAAAAAAAAAAGGTTGACTGAAATTTGGAACCAGCATACAATGTCATAATGAAATTGAGAAATAAAATACAGTAAAGGAATTTACTGTTTAACCTAATATTCCAAAGAATAACCCTTAAGAGTAAAGAAGCTCCATTTAAACCACATAGTCTAGCTCAATTCACCAACCACCAGGCAACATAGATAAGTAGTAGAAAGGACTCACTCACAGAACTCAACGAATCCACCTGCCATGCTTGTACTACCTAATTCGCTTAGGGTTTGTATCCCTTAAATGCAAATGCTTCTGGAAGATGAAATACTAAAAATGCAGCAATTAAAATCAAGCCCCATGACTTTCCCTCCCCCCCTTTTAGCTCCAGCAAGAGCCTGTGATTTACTAGTAATTTCAACATTCTGGAAAATTATTAGATCATAAACACTACGCAGCTCAATATTCAAAGAAGACCAAGTTCAAAAATCATCATGCAGTAGTCTCAGAATGAAGTTCACAAACAGCAATTCCTAAAATCTAACAGTGTCTAGAGAACTACAGGGCAGGAGGAAAACCAATGATGCACCAATACCCCAGCCGACTTCGGGCACTGACCTTCACCCAAAATGACCTTCCTCTGGTTCCAAGATAAGTACAGAATCCCAATGCACGCTACAAACAGAAAAACCACAATCATGGCTTTACCTACCCCTTCGCTGAGAATCTGGAGAAAAGTTTCTCTCCGGAAAAAAGCTACATTTCCAAATTCAATCAACTGGGTAACTTGGCAGCAACCCCAGTCTAATTGCAGAGCTCCTAAACAACCCTCTCTCCTATGCCTGTCAACTTCACTGGTCAAAGGCAATCGGCAATCACTGACTCTCTGCTAGGTCAGGCCGAATCCAGGGAAGCTAAGCGCAAAGGGAGCTTCATACCAACCTGTCGGTGATAGTAGACTGTGTGCCACTCATTGGGGCCCTTGGCGAGAGGTCCTCCTTTTATCCAACTTGCATTTTACAGTAACACCTCCACCCCACCCCCAGTGCTCTGGGATCAGGCCCGACTCCGTAAGGGACACAAAAGTCCAACTCAAAACTCCATTCAGTCATCTAGAACATCCGACTGGAAGGGTCAAGGAAAGGGGATGTAGGTCGGAGCAAAACAGGTTATCTCCCAAAACAAACCGAGGAAGTCCGCCAGAAGGCGAGTTCGAGAGCTAGAGCTCAATCCTCGGGAAGGCACAAGGAGAAAACTTCGTCACGGAGGGAAGTCGGCGAGCCGTAGGGGAAGGGGCCCGGGAATCCCTCCGGGGCTGGGGCGGGATCAGCGCGGGGCTGGGTGTCGGCTCCTCCTCCGGAGAGTCGGGGGCCTGCGAGTCCCCGCCGCCGCGGGGCCGGCCGCTCAGCTCTCCGCTCTCTATCTGGGGCTGCCGGCCGCTCGTGGCCGCAGCCTCGGCCGCGTCTCGGGCCGTCCCGCGCCAGGCTCGCGCGGCTCCATGTCCCCGGGCCGGGGGACCCCTCTCGTCTTCCTCGCCGCCCCCACCAGGCTCCGGGCGCTGGGACGACCGCGGGCGCCGGGGGAGGAGGTCCCGCAGCCAGAGGTGACAGGAACCTGGTCTCTCAGTGCCGCGGGTTGCTCCCCATCCCTGCGAGGCCCGGACTCTTCCGCAGTCCGCACGGGCGGCGGCGGCTCCTCCCCGACGCGCCGGTAGGCGGCTGTTCCCGCGAGGGGCGGGAGGTTCCCGTCCGGCCCGGCCTCGAAACACCGGCCCCGGAGGCCGGCGGCGGCGG